CGTCAAAACCCGCACGTATACCGATTGTTTTTTTTGGGTGATTGAATGACGTTTCATTTATAACAAAAATTCGGAAGTAAGTCGTTCAGTCGAATTAAATCAAGGGCAAACAATCGTATACGACAATGAACGGGTGTAAGATGAACGCCCGGTTTCTGAAACACAGATCATCGTAGATGTCAACTAATCGGCTGTCAAATGGATTTCAAATTACAATTTAGGTACCAAAAAGATGGTTAAACTCTCTGAATTGACCAGAATGATCTTCTTTATGATCAGAATGATCAATTCAAAGATTTTAAATATCCTTTTGGCAACTAAAATGAAATTTGAAATTCATTTGACAAGTGATTAGTTGACATCTACGTTGATCAGAGGTTTCAGAAACCGGGCGGAAGACTATTAAAACAATAAAACAGATTACGTTACTTACAGGCTTTGAGAAGTTCTCATTGAGAGCAAATGTTAGGACAAACGTTTAGTTACTTAATCTGTTTTTGTTAAGTAAAGAAGGAGTCAATTAATTGGTCGCGAGATAAATTAACGGGACGGTCGCAGCACCGCGGTCTTACAGCGTCCCTAAAGGCGACATGGGAAGAAATATGCCCCGTTGAAAACGGCGCGGCCGACTGCGAGATATCTGCCAAGCGCACGGCAGGCAGGCCTAGCGGACTTTATCTCGTCTCGCCCACCGCCCGACGCTCTTTAGGAAATTGCGTACGCTGCAAACAAAGGAATTGCGAGTTCTGATAAACGTGCGGAGCGTCACGGTTTTGAGTCAATCGCGACGGCTCCGGCTCTATGATACTTAAGGCTTTCCAAACATTCCCTCTGATGTCATCGTTCGACGAGTAGTCAATTTAGCGGACGAAAATTTAGGTATATCATTCAATTTTCGTCAAACAAATACAGCTTAAAGGTGAATAATACACTTTATTAACATTATATTAAAAATATATATTATTATTATTTTATTATATTATTTTAACATTATATTAAAAAGATTCGATTTAATTCAATATCTAATCACCTGAGTTCGATCCTCGGTGCCGCCATCAATGACATTGTTATTTACAAGTGTTGACTTATCACGTACTCGGCGGTGAAGGTTAACATGGTGAGGAAACCTGCATATTTTCTAAATAATAACAAAAAAATGTTTCGAAGATACGTGAAGTCAGCAAATCCGCAATGGTCGCGTGGCGGACAGTGGCATAATATCTCTGTACCTTTGCCAGGCTGTTAATTTAATTTTACTAAAACTATGATTAAATCAAAGTTATGCGATTTATTTTAATGGTGAAAATCTTTGTAATTTAAATCTGTGCCTCCTGTGATCAGTGATACAAGTCGAAAATCAACATTTTACAGGAGAGCAAAAACAAGATTTAAAAAATTCTAGTTCATGAAGTGGATAGACTAGGACAAAACTTTGTACACACTCATATAGATTATAACATTCTCTTTCATCCTGTTTTACAGTTTTGTTAAAAAATTATATAAGTTATCAGTAACTCGAAAAAAACTTTTGAATTGTACCTCTGTAAAGTAAAATATTGGCAAAGAAGATGTGTTACATGATATGAGTAGATTTAAACCATGTTGCACCTTATTATAGTCTTTGTGAAAACTGATATACGTGTAGTATAAAAACAAAAATAACTTATTAGAACCTCTTCCTATCATAATTGTTTAACCAAATAAAATATAGTGTATATCCCCCTGTTGTGATAATTTCTTTGAATTGTATCAACTAGCTAAAATCCTCGTGATTTGAAACATGTGTTATATGATACAAGTCAAATTATACCTGACTTGAAAAATTATATTGATTGTGTAAATTAATACAACTATTCAAAAAAATAATAAAAAAATTATTGTACTTCTCCTAAATTATTCTTATCTCATGATTCAATAAAAATTATAAATTATATATCTAGGATCGGTCATAGCAGATATCACAATAGGTACCTTTCAGTACTTACAGGATATTATGATCATTATCTTAATCTTAAATAGATTAATAAATATAGAGAAATTAACAAACACAACAAAATCTTCTTATCTTTCTATAAGCACCCTATCTATGAGTAAAATCACCTTTAGACGTAAACCAAAAATAAAAGGAAACTATAACGACAAAATAAACGATAACTACTCAGAATCATCGTCATTGTCCGGAAGAGAGTCTTTAATGTTTTTTTTTATGGAAAAAGGAGGCAAACGAGCATGCGGGTCACCTGATGGTAAGTGATCACCGCCGCCCATGGACATTTGCAACATCAGTTGAGTCGCAATTGCGTTGCCGGCCTTTAAGGTAGGAATAAGCTCTCTTCTGGAAGGTCCCTAAGTCGTGTCGGTCTGGAAATACCGCTGGCGACAACTCGTTCCACAAAGTACTTCATTCAAAATTTCGCGAAAAACTCACAATGGTGGGCCGCCAACCATCAAGGTGGTGTCGATGGTACTTGGCGGTTTGACGAGTTGTACGATGGTGAAATTCACCTGCAGGTATCAACTGAAGAAAATGCAAAGGGATGCAACAACCCTTCGCAGGGCCAAAGAATCGAGACGATCGGACAGAATTTGGTCGTCGATTATTCGAGCAGCTCTTCGTTGGATGCGGTCAAGTAGTAGGAGCTGATATTTCGGTGCCCCAGCCCAGAGGTGAGAACAGTATTCCATGTGCAGCCGAATCTGTGCTTTGTAAAGCTGCAAACGATGTGCCGGTAGGAAATACTGTCTCGCTCGGTTTAGGATACCGAGTTTTTTAGAAGCCAGCTTGGCTTTTCCTTCCAAATGACCGCGATATTGAACGTCACCGGTCACTCTTACAGTTTAGATTTCTATAAAATTCATGAGCTCTTTCATGGATAATAATTGTACTAGATCCTTCTTCTTTTCTGTTGAAATGGGAATCTTGGAATGGTAAGCTTTTGGTACGGTATAAATTCCTACCATATAGTACACTTTTCCGCGTTTCGATAAATTCATTCATGTTCCCACCGTCTTTGAGTCCTTTTCTGTAAGAAATACAGGGAAGAAAAAAAACAGAAATACAGTTGCCTTAAAGATACATACTCGATATGACATCAGACTACAGAAACTTTTTAATGTCTGTAGTTGTTTTGGGAAGGAATTGTTTAAAAAAATATCGAAGTCGTAAAACATATTTAGAGTCATTTCGATCACAGTAAACTTTGCAGGTTTATTTGAAGCTGTGCAGACCACTATCTACCAATCTCTTGGCAGGTGAATATCTATGCCCATGTGCTTCTTTTTATGTTCAATCAGCGCATGATCACTGTCTGCTTCCATGTCAGTATGGCTAGGTACTAGAAATTTATGTTCGATGGATTGTAATTGATATCAGGTATTAAGTTTTCTAAGTTTCTCGCATAAAAGTCTGAAGATACTTGTGGTTTTAGTCAAAAGTCTTCAAAAAACATCCTTTACAAATTGCGTGTTTTGTTATGATCAAACCCGTGAAAGAAGTATCGAAAAAATCTAGCGTTCCGTTTTTTCTTATATTATAGAGATATTTGGACGTCTTTTTTTTGAAATTCCAAGACTCCAGTATGTTTTGAACAGAGTGTTCCTTAAATGAAACGGTAGTCTCTCTTTGCATTTCTGACATAGTTGTTTAGATCACGTAAGTCACGAGTTCTTCTTGTTTTTCCTGATGTTGTTGTATATTTCGAGGCAGTTTTACAAAATAGTTTATTTATGTGAGAAGGTGGCACGCGAGCTGTAGGTCCACGTTATGTTAAGTGATAGCCACCGGTCATGGAAATTTGCAACTCCTGTAGTGTGGCAGATGCGTTGCAATCTTTTAATAAAGTGGGCTTAGTCAGTCACTTCACTCCCGCACATAACCGCCACCCTCACCTTGTTTTAATTTGTATCATTTTACACTATAGTTCGTAGTAAATACTTTTTAGAACATGTTTGCATTTCAGATACAACTCAATTTATTTTAGTGTTCAGATAAGAATAGATATTGTGTGAAATGATGCATGTTGAGATGTATCATTCAGCACATAATTAGGCGAAATTAATATTCAGATCGGTAAGTACATGTCTTACCCTGTAAATAACAAAATAAACTTAGGTTCAAGTTGATGTAACTGGAATAAAATGATTATTCACGAAATATCATTAGAAAATCAAATGTGAAAATTGATATTATAGTAGTTATACCACAAAGTACGAAAAAAAATGTGTGGAGTGATACTTTACTGGTGCTATATCAAGACTAAAATCAAAATTCACGATTTTTTTCATCCAAAATCCCATTAGTTATATCACTTTGCACAAAATTATCTCGAGATCTATAGCAGATAGAAACACGTGAGTCAGACCCAAAGCTAGCTTATTTTTTACTGATTGCTTATGTGTTAAAATCAGAAAAAGGGTACAACTCGAGTTGTATCACTGATCACAGGAGGCACAGAAATAAAACAATTAAAAGGGAAGAAAATGTGACCGAAATCGAGGCACTATATCTGAGAAACTAGTCGGCTATGGCCATATACATAAAATCTTGGCAACATAGAAGCAAGGCGAAACAAATAAATAAATCGTTTAAATCACCATTTGGTAATAACTAACCTTTATTAATGATTGGGTTGACCTTAATCTACATGAACATGCATATTATACCCAAATTATAAGATTTTAACATACCTGTTAGTTACTCATTCACCATGTTAAACCGTTTATAAGCAGACATGAATTTTATACGGCGTATTTATTGTCCACATCTTAAACTACAAATGGTTAAAATGTAATGTACAGTTCACACAATTGCAATAAGCGAAGCGTTCCTTAAATTAAGGAAAAACTTATTCGAGACGGAATTACGAAGAAGATGAAATAAAGAGTGCCTTAAAACCTTTCCCTGAAACCCCGATAGTTTCTAACTCACCTTTGACGTTCCGTGAACTTTGCTACACAACCCGAAATTACATTTACCGAAAAAAGTTACATGCCGAGGGTTACAAAGCCGGCTTAATGCTAGCGCCCCAAAGGGACGGCGAGGGAAGATTCGCCCTTGAAAATAAATGGGAGGTGTCGTGAGCCCGATAATGCAGCAGCCGCCTGCCGCCGATAGGGGTCTGTTGGGCTCCAAAGGGCTTAGGCAAGGCGAAATATACTGGGACACCCCAAGCATTGAACGAGCGCGCGACATTGCGTTGCGATAGCTCCCCCGATAACTGGGCTGCAGTTACTAATATCTCATCGTTTGCGTTGCTACGTGCACACAACGTGGCATGTTGCCGCTGCATTGTGTGCAAATCGGTATAAGCGCGTCGTCAATAACATATTTATTCCGGCCACTTAAGCGCGAACCTTTCGTGACATTTTGATTAATATTATTACTGTAATTTTTGGTATCCCTATTTTTTTATCTTTATATATATAATTCATCTGTACGTGTATATGTCACTGAACTCCCCCTAAAGGAATGGACCGATTTTAATGAAATTTTGTGTGTGTCTTCAGGTCGAATCGAGAACGGTCTAGATTCATAATTCTGTCCACATTTTTTTTATTTTTTTTTAATTTATAAGTTGTTTTCGAATTTCAGTCGTGTTCACTTGATGTTAAGCTTACATCTGACTAAGTTTACATCTGACGGGTTGCATGCGTTGCAAATATTAAAAAGGTGGGTCGCGGCTACCTCACTCATCATACGAAACGCGAAAAAATAATATTTCCACTTTACGCCTGTGAGATCGTGGTGCTTTCCCCGAACTAGTATGTCCATTCGTGCTAAAGCCAAACCTGCTACGTAGCCCTACCATAGTTAAAGTCTTTGAAAGTTCTCCTTTACAATGGCCCGATTTGGAAATGTAAAATAGTGATTTGTTAATTTTAATTCTAGTTATCTAAAACATAATATAGCAGCATCGACTATAAATGACAATGATCTTGTACTTCACATTAAATTTACTTTGCAACCATGAACGAAAAGTGCGAGGGAGTAAATTAAACTATTAAACTGTATTTTCAACGCTGTTATCGTCCTAGTTTCAGCGTTATAAAGATACTTGAGCTTCTTAAGGTTAACTCTTGCATTGAAGTATGCTTAACAGGTTTATTGTTAGAATTGTATTCAATTGTTGCGTCACGATATGAGTAAGCGGTTGTTGGAAACTGTTGACTGTGTAATCCTACGTACCATCAACAGATATACAGTAATTCGAAGAAAGCATGAAGCAGATTATTTAAAACGTTTAGAGCAGATGCAGAAGACTACCGAAATTTGTTATTTGACGTACATTTGGAGGACGTCATTTCTTTGGATTAAGTAGGATCTACTGCGCGGCAAGTGAAACGTTCTTCGTCTTGCTCTACGAAATGCCCGACTCCTATTTAAACCCCTTACGTAGATATGAAAGCGTGCACGGAATTTTGTCTATGGCGCGACGCCGCCCCCGCTGCGGACGCTTTTGGGGTGACAAGTTACAAAGTGGAGGAACATTTCGCTCCGCCTTGCGAAAGGGACGCGACCGTCTTGAGATCTCGGAAATGTAGCGATTTCAAGTGGAAATCTTTTTCTACTCGCTGTACGTCTAGGTTTATGTATATATATAATATTCAGAACTAGAACAACTTCAGTATTTATATCAGTGCCTGCCTGCTAGTCGACTCTCACTGTGTTTGATGGCGATGTCTTTGATAAAAATGTTGCTTCCGTATGATTATCTATAAAACTCAGAAACTAATCAATGGATTTGACTTGACATTTGTTCACAACATAGGTATTGAATAGGAGTGTTTTTGCATGCCTTTTATTCCGAAGTTGCAACAGAAACGAACAAAAAAGCCACAGCGAAGAGTGGTCTTATCCAGCTTGTTATAGATAAAAGTTCTAGCTCGGTGAAATTCCTATTCACTGTGCTGTGCTGGGCTATATTTAATCAGATAAATCCGTATTACTAAATGAAACTATGTTTATGGATTACGTTTATTTTTAGTTTTAATTCCCGACATTTCGGACCCTTTGGCAGCGTGCATGGTCACGGGACAGTCTGTGCCGTGACCATAAACGCTGTAAAAGGCGATAAGTCCGTAAACATAGTTTCATTTAGTAATGTGTAATCGGGTAAATACAAGGAACTATTATAAATCCTTATGCAAAATGATAATATAGTGGCGTTAGACACTACGGAGTTGAACAATTAATCGGCCCTCGGTTGTTTATTGAAAGAACACGTACTGATTGATAGTCGAGTGTAGGCGGATACGGAGTTCGAGATTGAAGTGGCGGCGGAGGGGTGAGGGGGGGGGGGGGGGGGGGGGGGAAGCATGCTTCGCAGAAGCCCAGCAACGTGACATTTTCGCAAACAAACTAGGAGAGGAGGCAAGGCGCCGCCGCCGCTAGTGACACACGACCCTTATGGCGCGGGTCGATTAAGTTCGGCGATAGACTTCCCTCTCTGCTTAGAACGTCATGTCTACTGTCTCATTAAACGGTAACAAAACCCTAATAAATAATAGCAGAAAAATGTCACCATTAATTGATGAGTAATTAATGCGCTTGTCGTTAAGCAAAATCGTAATCCTTATACCGTTAGCGAAAAAGCATCAAACATGATGATCACCGTGAAAGGAGATTACGGAGGAAATTGTATATTTAATTACAACACTGGAAATGGAAGAACCTGCGCCGCAAGGTAAGGATATAGCGTTTTTTGATAAGAACTGAAATTGACTCGACGTGAAAGCTATCAAAAAACTGATTGATTGAGGTTAACATAAATTACACGAACGCGTATCTCACGTGCGGGGCCGGCCACGGTTTATCAATTCACTAATTAATTTAACGGTGAAAGTGTGAGATATACCGAGCAGCCTTTCCGAATAGGCGATGAGAGCGCCTTCATATCGCATACAATCCCGTGAGCAAAGCTGACACGACCATTTCGAACATAGTATTACATCAGAAATCCACAAAAATCACGTATGAAATAGGTCGCCAATCTGCACTGATAAACTATTCCCTAATACCCTCTGTACAGACGAGGCCTTTGCCCAGCAGTGGGACATTATTGTTGTTACTTTGTAAATGGTAGTTACTTGATAAATGCTAAGACGAGATAAAGTGTATCGCAGAACGATATACGAAGTAAAGAAACGATATAAGTGATGTTCTAAATGTAAAATATAAAGGAGAGCGACGCACAGCGACCTCCGTCGACGAGGCCATGTTTACTGAGCTGTGCGTTCGGCTGTTAACGGTCAACCAGTGTCCAGTCATTCACTTAGCTATAGAGATTACTGAACATTTAATATCTGAAACCTGACGAGCAATTCCAATAACGATATCTATAAAGGGATGGGAGCGTTAGTATATTAAAAGCATGCCTTTGTTGAGTGACGTTAGCAAAACAACGGTTCGGTTTCGATAACACAGTTAATTGTGCATCGGCTGGAGCGAAATTACGTAATAGCGCCTGAGCAACGTTAGTTGACGCGCGCGTAATAATGATGGTACCATTGCCTCATCGAGCCGCTGCCATTTCGAAATTCATCGATTCGTTTTGCTGATTGCGAATAATTTCTCGGCACTATTTGGAAGTGCAATCGTTACAGTCATATCAAACGTGATCGGAACGCATTCTTCTGCCATCAAATCGGTCGTGTTTCGCGTTGTCTTAGCGCATTTAAATATGTTCCGCAGAGGATTCAATGAAAACGTAAACATGTCCAATGCGACTGAATAAAGAGACGAACTAACGATATAAGAAATCAATGCAATGTTTAAATGAGCTGATTTATTCCGCCACAACCAGTAACTCAACATATAAAAATTTCAGTCTAACGTTTTAAGATATTGCTCAATTCCATGGGGATTCGACTTCGAGCGATAGCTGAGGGCTAGCTAAAACGGGAATAATCGAGTAGGCAAAGGTCTCGAGTTACGCCGCGCGCAAAAGGAATTGGCGTTATTAATTAAGGGTGACGCAACGCGCGAGGTCGGCCTAACGCCGATAGCAGCTTTACGTAACGGGATCCAAGGTGGGAGCTTAGAAGCGCGTAACATGAGAGCGACACCGCTCGCAGAGAATCGCCACAACTGCGCCAAACGTTTCGGTCTTTTTGTATTGCTTCATATTCATTCGGTATGCGTGAGCTGTGAACGTACGTGCAGTCGTATAAAGGCAGATTAATCTCCAATAGAAAAAGTCTTCGCCAAATGCAACTGTTGACAAGGCACACTTACGTCCGGTTTTTGAAACACTGATCATCGTAGAAGTTAACTAATCAGCTGACTGATCATCTTAATGATCAGAATGATCAATTCAAAGAGTTTAACAATCCTTTTGGCAACTCAAATAACATTTGAAAAGCCATTTGACAGCTTATTAGTTAATTTCTACGATGATCAAAAATCGGAACGCACTGACTTCCATGTAACGATAATCTAATATCTGAAAATGATATAACTTTGCTGTGTATCTCACATTTTCATGTGATACACATGTCGGACTAAATACATGTATGTTGCTTTACAAAAACCTCATAATACAATCGGATAAATCGTAAAGTACCATATGCTACAAAATTCGTTGTCCTTCAAGTCTTTGTTGCGGTTTAGCAACAATGTAGTTGTAACGGCCACTTCACGGATTACTTTGAAGGGCTATAATAGTACAATAGGTACATATTATAAGCACGTCGTAAGTATTGAAATTAATATTATTTAATGTTTAGTGCACTTTGTTGCTCTGTTGCAGATAACCGTACCTGTACTCCGGTTTACTTTAGCAATAACATACCAGGATATTATTAATATCTATTTAATTCATGTAATTTAACTTTAAATACTCCACAATTAAAAACAGCTTGCATTTTGTTAACTGTTAAAGTTGAGAATAACCAACCATTTTATTATATATTAAGTGTACGTGGTTACAGTCTACGTAATTTAGAGATAAAGAATCGTCTTTGCGTTAGTAAAAACAAATAATACAACAGGTTAGGTAGTTCAAGGGTGTACGATTTTCACACAAACAAATCTTTAATCTCTTAAATACGAGTACAGAAAAACTAGCTTAATTTCAATTTGTCCTTTCACAATTCAACTGATGAAATTGAATTTAAGCATATCAATAGATCGTAAGCGTTACGATCTCAATTTGTTACTTGGGAAAATTTATAGACAGGCACACACACAATGGAAACATGCTGAATTAGGTAACCAAACGGATCATAAATTATGACTTGTTTCACTATTCATAGCTCGGTAACAATACCCGTAGGTTTGTACAACGTGAAGAGCTCAATGCACAAATATTTAATAAGCCACATTTCGATGCTATCACATATTTCCTTTTATCGATAATTTTCATGTAAACAAAGTATTGTAGTAGTATATGTATAGTACTTTTTACTTAACAATACCTTACTTTAGATACGAAACTCTTTATGAGGAGGGCCCGTTTACCAATAATAGGTAAGTTGTGAAATGGATAAGACTTGAATTGAACATAGGATAACACTGAAAAATTAAAATAAAATCTGTTAAAATACCAGCGGACCCGACAGACTTTATCCTAGACACGCGACATATTCAAATACCTACTTATAAATAAAAAAAATAATCAAACAAGTCAAGTTTCGCACTTTTTCTACAAATTTTAATAAACAAGTCAATTTTTTACTAGCGAAAAACAAAACAGACTTTAAATATCACGCTCTATATTCATTGTATAATTGATTTTCAGGAGTTCCCTACGTATCTCCGGAGGCCAAGATCCAATACCAATGAAATAAATATTGTGATCCCACCACATGGGAAGCACCAGCTTTCGAATAAAAAAGAATCGGTTCACAATGACGAAGTCGCTGGCACGGCTAGTCTATACAGAAAAATAAAATATATATATAATAATACAATTTTTGTCTGTCTTTCTGTCTGTCTGTTTGTTCCGGCTGATCTCTGAAACGGCTGGACCGATGGTTTAAATATCACCAAAGAGTTATATCGTAAGCTTACAAAGACCGTTTGTCGCAGAATAGGCATTCAATATAACTTCAAGCTACTACCCAAAGGTGTAAAGCAGTACCAAAAGAACGTCGAAGCGAAACGTTGCAAGTAAGCGTTCGAAGAACACGAAGTCGAAACGAATGGAGCAGACGGACGCGCTGTAGACGGACGTAGCTCCCCAATAAAGAGCTTTGTCCACGAAGGGGGGGCGTGGAGCACGGCATGAGTCAGCGCGGCCTCGCGTTTCGGCTCAGCGTGATTCACCGCTTGTGACGTGGCCGGGACGCCCGGCGCGGCACCGGTGCCCTGCTGCATTTCGCGACAAACACTTTAGGAACTAAATCGATCGAGGTCCCGATAGTATTAGCTTTTTACTCTGTTTCGGAGTCACGTAGTGCCTGGATACGGTTTTGCCGAGCGAGGTGTCTCATCATGGATAGTTTTTTTTTTTTTCTACAGTCGTACTAAACAGTATTTTCCCCTTTTATTTGCCTGCCGAGACAAGTAAGTAGGGGCTTATCCTGGTTGGGGGGTTTTTTCTCCTACTAATCTAAGTTTCTTCACCTTTTTTGTTCCTTTTCGAGTCAAATAGTGGTTTCTGAGCTAACTGAAGTCCTTAAAGATAACAAGTTCTCGTAAAGAGAGCCTTCAGCTATGGCAGCTTTGCAAAATGTTTTCCAATAATATGTATATAAACTTTGCAGACGATGCGAACAGATCTTTCGATTAATATATTACAGAAATAGGTCATAACACAAAAAAAAATTGTACTTACAAGTTAATAGTTAAAAAACAAAATAGACTGAAAAAGTAGTTCCAGAAGCGTTTTATTAACGCACATTTTAAAAGTTCAAACACTAAGATCAAAAAAAAATAGCCGTTACTTACTTATAACTAGTTTATATCAATAAATTCCTAAAGCAGAAATCGAACCTAACCGTTTCCGCAACAGCGCTGACCCAGTCATCAAATGATTAACAATATCACTGACATCCGCATGTCCCTTGTCCATTGCTGATCGTACACAGGGGAACCATTTTGAATAACTTGACTATAAGAATTAAACAAAACATCCTCATTAAAAATCATATCCCTTTTAGATGAGTGACGGGACTGCCGTTTTGACATTAAACTTGATATTAAAATGAATATAATTTTTCTACTTTTAAGTAGCGCATTCCAGCTTAAAATCAGTAATTAAATCATTTTAATCGGACATTTGTAACTCATTTAATACAATACAAGAATACTATGTAGTACAGCGTGTAGTAAATACGTACTTTATTGCCTATACGGCCAAACGAGAACATGAAACACAATGATTCCGTATTAAGTAAATGGTGAATACGAGTATAAACCATTTATTTAATAGTTCGTGTAATAAAGCGGTGCGGCGGCGTGACGATTCCCTGTACGATATACTTCCTGTGCACGCACAATCGCATATTACACGTACGGCGCGGGAAATTATTACGAGTATGTAAAATGATAAGCAAGCACAAATCGCGATCGACAACAATTACTGCTTGTTCTATATATTTTTGTCTGTGACAGGGCCAAGCAAGTTTCCGCTGTTGCACGAATGGGCAGGTCCGTCCGGGGAAGTGCCACCTCACAGAAAGCCGGCGTGAAGTGTAATACTTCCAGTATTATACTTCTGCGTTTCGTGGGATGAGTGAGGTAACCTTGAATTAACGTACCCGCTTTGTATTAATCTTAGTCTGGTTTGTTACTTATAATTTTAATTTTTGGTATGTACTGAAAATCGGTAAATCGTACCGAGTACATACCTATTTGGTTTCAGGTCTTAGATATACATTCTTTTATTCGTTGACATAGCCGTGTTTGTTGAAACTAAATAAATATTCATTCATTCAAAGGTGGCAACGCATCTGCAACCCTACGGGTGTGTAAGTTTACATGGGCGGCGGTTGTCACTTAACATCAGGGGAACCGCCGGCTCGCTTTACCTTCGCACATAAAAAAATATCTTCATCGCTTGTATACACTTTCAGAATAATGAAACTCAAATGAATGGAGATCAACCTTAATAGTGTAAATAATTAACATACGAGTGGCAAAGGCATACTTTTTCTTCGCCGTACTGCGTAAATCCGTGAGAAAACAACTTCGCACCGTATACGCGGTAGGCGACGTTGCGAAATACTGCGAAAGCAGCACCCAGACGAGTTTTTAGCATTGATATTGAAAAGCGCAAACCCGCGAGATTTGTCGATCACGGAGGTTTAATATGCGGCATTCAATCGAGCCCTAGATACATTATTCATGCACGAACGGAAATTAACACAGCCGAACAAACAAACGTAAAAACGAAATAATGTCACTGTAAATCCGAATAACTGTTTAAAAATAACATTTTATTGACGAAAATCTAAACAGACTGCAAATATCTCATTCAATATACCATTTGCTATTTGACTTTGAGGAGGCAGTCTTACTTGCCATCCCTTTGAAACGACTAATATAATTAATTGGTTAACTATTGGATACTTTAATCCTATCTGTTGCCTAAAATTGATCGATGATGAATCGATGGATTTTATTACTTTAACACACGACATCGATGAATTAATATTTCATTCATAATGGAAATTTTGTTTAACAGGGGGCGACCTTTTATATAATCATTACAACGTACATAGTTGTAAGATCGTCTAGCGAGGCGCCCACAAAAATTTAATAGCCACATTACGCGGTGTGCTCCCGACGCGCTACTAAATTCCACGGCGATCTCGAAAGTATGCCGAGATGGGGGGGCGACTTTTTGCTACCACATCTTTTTTTTTTTATGCGAAAAGTTGTCAAATGAGCAGACGGTTCACCTGGTGTTAAGTGAACACCGCCGCCCATGGACATCGGCCACACCCGAGGTTTACAGATGCGTTGACAACCTTTTGAAAATTGGGCTCCGGCTACCTCACTCACCAGACGAAACGTGAAAGTATTTGTCATACTTCCACTTTACGCTGGTCTTCTGTGAGGTCGTGGTACTAACCCGGACGGGCCTGCCCATTCGTGCAACAGCCGAGGCTGCTGCGTGGCCCTACCACCGTAAAATTGAGATTGAAACATCATTTCGAGTTTCACGAGGACCTATGTACCAACATTTGTAATCGCTATAGGTTGGAGGCCTCTACACTCCGCCCCATAGGTGCACCGCATGCCAGCTGTCTCGTTCAATTACTACATGGGACAGCACCTGTTCAACTCAAAAGCCGCCGACTGATGTAGATACAATTATTACTGACTGCAAAGTAATCCAATGTACAGCAGGTACGAGGACATTTTTTTATTTTTTTTTATTTTAACCGACCGCACTCAAGAGGCGTTTGAAATGTAACGTTTCCCTGCTAACTGGAATCTATATAAGACCACTATAAATGCTTATTAATGCCAGTGAGGGCTGTAGTTTGTGATAAAAATTATAGCTGAACCACGCACGTCATACTGATAATAGTGACACGCTGTAACCAAGATTAATGTCAGTGACATTAGGAGCCGCTCATATAAGGATAGATAATGAATTTACGTTCGCTATAATAATTATTGCTCGGATTCTCATAACTCGGTGTTGTAATTAAATTAGCCGTGAGTAACGTACCAGACGGACCGGATATGTCGCGTTGCTTAACAAAAATAACAATGGTTTACCTGCAACAAAAGAATAATACATTTTAAATCAATTACGGAACATACAATTAGAGTGTAATTATAAATTCTTTCATTAGAAACTTGCCCTGTAAAGATTTTGGTACACGTGATAAAATTTTATCATCATAAATAAATTGTTCGTTCGCTTGTATTGTTCATTGAAAAACATTTTAAATTCTGTAAATGTATATTTACTCGAATCTTATATAAATTTTCTGTAACTGTTACATTAAAATGAGTAAGCTTTATAAGTAGTTTCACCAAAAGCACGAACTACATTTTTAGCTCGGCACGATTCCGGCATAATGCAATTGTAATGCAAGCACTATATTTAACTGACATACATGAACGCATTACAACAAACGCGTGGCACGTTAATAGCAAATTGGTTTCGATGCAGTTGTTCGGATTTTCCCAATTTTTATTTGAAAACTACTTCGGAACTGGTTCTTCGACAGAGTCAGAATGCAGTCGAGTAACACTATTTTCATCGGTATTCCGGAGACTACAACACTTGAGTTAAAAACTTGTATATACGTAAATAGGTAAAAAGAACAGTTCAGTACTATTTTGTTACCCGTTTGTAAACTGAATTTCTTTTTTTTTTCTGTTAAATACCATGTATTGACGGGTTCTAGTGTAAACGAAAATAGAACTTTTTAAATTTTTGATCGTGTTCACATTTCATACACTAGTATGAGACATATTTAAACCATACGTGTATATTTATGGCAAAAATTTTTGTGACAAATTATAGCAGTGTAAGTTAAAATCACCCTGTTATATTAACTTTTAGTGTTTTGCTCATGAGGTTTATATTATGAAATCCTCATGTTAACGAAGATTTATTAATGTTCGGTAATCATAATGCATTCAATAATAATAATCAATTCATTTATGTATATTTATGTAGAATAGATAAATGAAAAAAAAATAATTATATACATATATGGCTAGTAGATTATAAGATACATACATTCAACGGTGGTAGGGCCACGCAGCAGCTTCGGCTGTTGCACGAATGGGAAGGCCCGTCCGGGTAAGTACCACGACCTCACAGAAGACCAGCGTAAAGTGGAAGTATGTCAAATACTTTCGCGTTTCGTCTGGTGAGTGAGGTAGCCGGAGCCCAATTTTCAAAAGGTTGTCAACGCATCTGTAACCCTCGGGTGTAGTAGATGTCCGGCGGTATTCACTTAACACTCAGGTGAACCGTCTGCTAGTTTCGCAACTTTTCACATAAAAAAAAAAAAGATTTGTATAACAGTGTTTCTCCTATATTTCGGCTAAGTTACTGGGCACATTTTCTTGATTTATTTATTATATTTTTAATATTTTATTTTTTTACCACTATTGGAAAAAAGTTGTGAGTATATTAGAGATGGAGCCATATTTGTAATAATCAATTACTGTCCGAAGAAAATAATCACAAATCAAACGAAGCATGCACGCAACGTATGTCTCGAAAGATAACACGAGTTGCTAGTAAAACAAAATACGCAGACGCAGGATGCAGCCGTTGTCGACGTATGGCGGGCTTTGAAAAAAAAACTTCAAGGGCGTCACAAACGAGTCGCCTATCGTCGGGTGCGCGAAGAGCGTTTATTCTTCAATAGGGTAATTAAAGAAGCGTATTAATGAGGTTGGCCGGGTCATCGGCCGCCCCGTGGCCGGCCGAGAGCGACGGACCGTCCACGGAGCACAGGTAAGCCGTACCAAGCTTAGGTCCGCGCCGAGCACTCGTTATCTCCTTCATTTTGCGCGGGACTTAAATACTCGCAGACAAAGATATATTAAAAAGAGAAGGGACACGGCAAACGTTTCGCTAGGGACCTAAATGCCACCGTACAGATTAACTGGTTAGCCTCTCAGCCGGTCAGATTAGATTGGCTTGGTTTTCGTTCCTAATTAGAAACGACAACAAAGAAGTTTCATTTACTGTACGTGTAAATTATTAAAAAGACTTATTCGGGTTCCGTACCTAAAGGGTAAAGCTGTCTGTCTGTCACCAGGCTGTATCTCAAGAACCGTGATAGATAGACGGTTGAAGTTTTCACAAATGGTGTATTTCTGTTGCCGCTTTAACAGCAAATACTAAAAAACAGAATAAAAAAAAATTAAGTGGGGGATTTTTTCGCCTGTTATAGATAATGGTACGGAACCCTTCGTACCCGAGCCCGACCCGCACTCGGCCGGTTTATTTTTTTAAATATTAAAATCGAAGCATTCGGTAAACAGAACGAGCTGTGTAAACAGCGAACTAATTTGGGCAACGTTCCGATAACGAAGTTTTACTACGTCGCCCCACATACAATGCGGCCGTTCGCTATTTAATTAACGCGGTCATTGGCACCGCGAGTGGTTATGGAAAAACAACGAGGATTATTAATTTTGAGCATTGCTTTGCAGCGACGACCACGTTCCTGATACGGGCGAATCGCGCCAGAGCAAGCCGCATCCATTTTCCAGGGCCGTGTTGACTGGAGATTTACGGGCGGCGTTAAAACTGGCCCCAGCGGTGTATAGGGGTCAGGTATTAGCGGGAGAAACCCACGAATGCAAGTACATTCAGAGGCCCGCAATTCGCATAGCAATGCCCCTCATTAACGAATCCGACCGCTGCACAAGCTATGTAAAATTATAAAGGCTTTAAATTATATTAAAATTATAAAGGCTTATAAAGAAGATTTTCTTTTAATTTACTGGAGCGTGATTACGACCGCATGAAAGTAAATGTGCATGCAAATGCACGGGAAGTCGATGGATGCAGGTGGCTTAGGATCGTACTTCGTGGCAGTCTGTGGGGGAGGCCTATGTTCAGCAGTGGACTCAAACAGGCTGAAATGATGATGATGATGATGAAAGTAAACAGCTTAATCGCTTAACGCACTAGCTTAGAAAAAGCTTTTCCTTGTCTCCGATGTCCCACAGCTGTGCGAAGATCTCCTTCACACAGGGTAATACGGTAAAATCCGCCATGCGACCACAGTGTAGATTGAGAACGACACGTATACTCGAAATAGTTTTTTTATTCATTAGATATCGTATCGTCATTTTAGTATGCAGGTTTCTTTGCTAAGTTTTCGTTCACCAGTTTTAAATGTAAGTTTCCATTTAAAACTGCAATTAACAACTTCAATGATGCCCTGACTGGGGGTTTGCAAACAAGGTGAGTAAGGATATAAAGTTGAATACAATCAAATTATTAACGACAGACAATTAGTTATCATAATAGGAGGTTAGTGACCCGAAGCATTGTTTGGCACTCGTATAAATATCGATTCAAATATCTAACTCACTTTAGTATGCAACTACTAGTACATTTATACAAGGTTCCCTTCGACTTCCTGTTGATAAATGCACATTTTTTTCCATTTGGTGTATTGTATGACCATTTATATAAATATATATATTAATTAATAGTATTGTTTTAGGGTTCATATGGCTACTTGGCGTTAACATTAATTTTAGTATATTATTTACTGTTTAACGTGCTCATTACATTTTTAATTTTTGATATGTTATAAAAATCAGTGATTCGTAGTGAGAAGCAAACACTAATTTAGTTTAATGTTTTTTGTTACATTACCTTTTTGCAATTATTCCTTTAAACTTGGACTTAATAAATAAAATAACGGTGCTCAACGTGGTCTTCGCATCTTGTCCTTTAAATGCGTCGATCGCGTTTAGTCATATCTAATCTCCGAAGACAGAAGGCGCGAAAACTGGTAGCGTCTTTCATTCGCCGTAGACGGGGGTGGCTATCAATCATCTAGCCCCCTTGCCCCTTCTCCACGGCCCTGCGCTCGGCCAATATCGCCAAGGGAGCCCCTGCCGGCTCGGCTTATTTGCTAAAGTACAGATGTTCAAGTTTCGGGATGTAATGAAATCTGTAATGAAATTTAAACTTGGGACTGAGAGATATATAGAACAACGATGAATAGCGCAAAGGAAAAACGCTAAGTAACTACTAGTGTGTTAAAGGTTGCCTGGAAGAAATTACCTATAGTAATAGAATTATAAAGACCGCCTATTGTAGCCATCACTTTTATATTAAGTTTTGATTTTTGTTTATCTTATTTTTGGTGTGCAATAAAATAAATTCTTTAATTCATTCACACTAAATGTGTCAGTGGCAAATTAAGAAACCCTACGGCAATAAAGCACAGTAAAAGCAATGTTAAGTGTACTATAATTTTCGAGGGATACAACATCCACACAATATTCATTATCAATTCTAGTCATCACCCGGCTGCTTCTTAATTAATTAAAAACAATGCTGGCCAAAGATTTACTGCCACACAAGGTATACAATGGATACATGAAATTCACTCGTTGAATAATGTAAGTGAGCAATAAAAAAGGATTTATAAAAGAAAAGTAACATTAGATGCTTGCAACTAATATACTTTTAGTATTTTATAAATATGCGTTCGCATCTGTTTCAACTGTTTTATTTTGGAGTCGATCTAAACTTTATTGTTATTCCACATACTGTTACTTCATTAAGATATTCACAATGTTCACAGGAATGTTTCGATTAAGTTCTGAACATTCTTTCGAATGGAACGGCTCATGTCACACCTATCGAACGTGACATGTCAATTTCGTTCGACTCTATAAAACGGCTAACTTCACTCGGCGTTGCGGCACGTGTTAATGCGTCCGAAGTGAGCGACAGGTACGCTTATAATCGTTCCTCGTGGCGCGCGTTTAACCCAGAGACCTTTGAACTGGTGCCGCGATCAGCTGGGCGACGGCGTGCGCGTTGGCACCGCACCGACGCGACCCACTTTGGCGCGATTGTTGTGCGACGCCAGAGATCCAGTATCCATTTCGCCGAGCGTTGCATAAGTACCCACATGTGTATGCGTGAAGATCGTACAAAACAACTGAACTGAACTGAATATATCTTTACATATATAATTCTTCTGTACGTGTGTATGTCACTGAGCTCCTCCTAAACGCCGATAGAACCGATTTTAATGAAATTTTTCGAGTGTCTTTAAGTGGATTCGAGATTGGTTTAGATTCACAATCTTATTCAAAAAGTTTGAAATTCTCAGGTTTAAGAGACCTGGACAACGTTTGTCAGATCCACTAATAAACCGTTATATTTTTATAGCTAATCTCTGCACTAAATATTAATGTTTAGTGCAGACATTAACAATATGCAATTTAAAAGATTTAAATTTCATATAGCAATGGCGACCTCTATCGTTCGAATTATCGTTGTAAAAAGATATTCGATACGAAATAGGTTGTATACTGTAAACGATACAACAATAGATGCACCAAGCATTGATTGAAATGCGACAAAACAATGTAGATAAAGGAAGTTGAGATTTTAGCAAGTGTGGCAATGAGCCTTTTAGCTAAGAGGTTAGAGCATCTGATCGCGAATCTGAAATATGTGGGTTCGAAACCCGTAGCGGCGAGAAACTTGTGGTCCTTTTTTATACACATTTTAATATATAAATAACACTCACAAGTCTCCTTACGGAATTGACGTTAGCCATTATTGCTTAGCGTAGTTAATAATTTCAGCGACAACGCTTCTCGAAATGGTTAAACAAAAATTAAATTAAACTTCGTTTGTGGTTAAGTCGAATTTGATCCAGAAAATTAGATGCGAAAACTAATTAATTTAATTTTTATAATAATTTATATTTTAATTTGTCTGTTTAAAATTCTAACAGTTTCAAGTTTCTAGGCCACTCATTTGAAGGCCACGTTGCCATCACAATCCTACAAGAAGGTTACATCAATTATTTTTTTCTATTTTTCATTAATTCGTGGTGGAAATTAAAAGCGTCTAAGAATTGTTTCATGTACGACATAAGGAAGCGATGACTTTGGGGCTGGTAAGTAATTCATAAATTCATGTTTTACGAAGACAATGTCATTGAAACTAGTTGTGATAGCATTAAGGTGGGAAGGGAGGCGAAAAGCTTCCAGACAATGTAATATACACACAAAGCTTTAAAAGATTTTTATATATATGTATGTATTTTCCCTATTTTTGGCTATAAAACTAAAGCTTCTTTGGCTAGACCGATTTAATAAAATTTTCGATAATCTACAAATAAGCCGAGAGGCACATTCTATAAAATTTGGTAAAGATTGGAATTTTGTATTATTAGATATCGGGTTGCTACTAGTACTAAAATAAGGGTTTGTTTTTTCATTATCTAAACTATGTTCGTGATTATATATACTGTATATAAATTGTCGGCGTGTCAGTTTGTTATCGCGTAACTTCCGACCGAATAGAACGTTTGGGTTCATGAGGTTCACGAACAATTCGACTTATCAGGACGTTCTAAGCTAGGCGAGATCATCGTTTGTGATCATTTTTTTTGATCATCCGATGCACGGGAAAATGGCCCGTTTTAACATGAAACGCCGAACACCGTGGTTCAACTAACAATGTTAGCTAATTCGGATCTGTGCCGGCCGTAATTAACCCAAATAGATCGCCGCTGGCAGCTCCTTGCGCGGAAGCGGTCGAACAATGGTACCCCAAACGATTCCCAAATTACGCAATTGTTTGTGTTGTTATTTGCAATAACTGGCTCGTTAATGTGAACTAGGAATTTGTTGCGGTTGTGGTTATATGGTTTTCCTTCAAATAAGGAACAGTTCTCAATGATAAATAAAGTCAATTGAAATTAATGAAAACCATTAGAACATACTCGTGTATAATTTTAAGAAATAACAACGGAACATTACATTTAGTTTGTGTTACGGTTATGGAACTAAAAAATCACAAACAACGTGTTTTTTTTTTTTTTTAGAAAACTTTTATAACTGAGAAATAAATTTGTAACAGATTTTGTACATCAAACCATAACATGAATCTGATAATTTAGCAATTGCTATCTCTAATAATTATAGTAGGTAACTATAATTTAGAGAATTTAATCTAATTTTTATTATTTATTTTCTACCAATGCGATGTCGTGGTACAGAACGTAGTAGTTAGTACATGTCAAGTCTTTGTCATTATTCTTAATCAAATAATATCGACTAAATAGTTGGTGTCTGTTTGTTAGACCTCAAACGCATAAAGTGGACATTTTAGCCGAAGTTTAAACAAAGTCACGGCATCTGGCTCAGTCAATTCTTGTAATTCATGTTCATTGTACCATTGTTTGTATGAATTGAGATAATTTTGTGAACAAAGAAAGCAAGGTCAAAATTTATGAGACGAATCAGTTGTTTCTTCTGTAAAACAAAGTCTTAAACTGTGATGACGCTTTTTGCAATTGAAAACAGACGTATTACAAAATCACCACATATAATTCTTTGGTTATATGAAAATAAACATACATAATGTTTAAAACGTGTAAAATTCAATACGTTTGGTTATCTAATACGTTTGGCTAAAAGTAACAGCCAATACATGTTCCACTGCGGATTGGCGGACTTCACATATCTTCGAAATATTTTTTTTTTTCTTATTACTCAGGTTTCCTCACGATTTTATCCCTTACCGCAGAGCACGTGATAATTCAGCACATAAAATCAACAATTTCATTAGTGACGGCACCGGGGATCGAACTCAGGTTGCTCGAGTATATTGAATTAAAGGCGAGCGCCCGGACACTGCTATCACGGCTCAGCTTTGGCTATTAGTTAAAATCTATAATTATAATAATATTGTACAAAATTTTGAATATAACCCAATAAATGGTGTCTTTAAATGGTGACCTTAAATATGACACTATTAATTATTAAATTAATTTCTGAGTCAACTAAATCAGCGATTTACATACTTGAACATAGGTAATTGTAAATAAAACTACAAGGAATATGTTTGCATTTACAAATACGAAAAAATGTCAATAGAAAAATACAAATAATAACAATTTCTGTAGGAGTTGAGCATTCATCAACTGATACGGAGAACAAACTCATTCGCTTCGGGGATTTCATATAAAAAGACCATCCATCCAGCATCAGAAATGTACGCCGCAAACGAATACTCAGATCCAAACGGGGATTTCAAATTCCGAAAATGTTTAACAAAACATACAAACTCTATCGAGTGAAATTCAAAACAGATCCCTCGCGGAGCGATCAGCGAACAATGGCAAATCACGAGCGATGTTGATGAATTGATCGATTCAACCGAACGCACGGTTCAGTTTTAAGCCGGGCTTATCACGAAAGGAACGAAACACGAAATAAACTACTGCAACCTGATAGAGCCAACTAGCCTATTGTGTTTTTTTTTTAAAAGGAGGCAAACGTGCTCGATTGCATACAGGCGGGTCGCCTGAAGAGTGATCACCTCCGCCCATGAACACTTTCAATATCTGCGTGCCTTGCTGTTGTATGAATGATGTCTCCGTGGCGCAGTTGCCAAGCTGTGTGTGTGCGTGTGTGTGTTTTTTTATGTGAGAAAGTGGCAAAAGAGCTGGCGGTTCACCCGATGTTAAGTGATAACCGCCGCCCATGGACATTTGCAACACCCGTAGGGTTGCAAATGCGTTGCCACCTTTAAATAAAGTGGGCCCCGGCTACCTCTCGCACCAAACAAAACGCGATGTAGTATTAAATATGGAATCTATCGGCGTGAAGTACACATACTTAATGTTACACTTCTCGACTTTCAAGTTAGTACGGTAACCGTCCTCCCATTAAAGGTTATGATCTCCGGCAACCCCATTGATGTTTATCGTATAGAAGATGTTTATTGGCAGCGAGAATCAATTAACATCAGGAGAATATTTATGTAGTAGCAAAGAAATGTAAACGAAAAAGAACCTACAATTTCGTCACATTGGCCTCATTCAAACCGCACGTCGATGTCTAAAAGTTGGCCCCCCGAACTTTTATTTGTAAGCAGCTATTGTTTCGTTTTTAGCTTTAGTTCCTTACCATCGTAGAAATAATGTAATTGGGAGTGGTGTCGAGCAAATCACGTGCGCGTGACAAAATGTAACGGCTAACGGTACCTGGCTTTGCGAAAGGAAACTTTTAACGCATTAAACATGAGTCAGCTAATATTCCTTTTTGAATGAAAGGTGAGACAAATAAAATCGAAACGTTATTTTGAATAAATTAATGAATTAATAAATATACTTTGTTGTTTTATGAAACTGAATAAAGAATTGATGGGTACAATGGGCGGCGGCCCCATTACTAAAAGTAATTTCTTCCAGGCAACTTTGGTGTTAAGCAAATGATTTTACATGTTTTGTAAGTGCTCAGTTAGTTTAACCTGTTATCACTCTACTTCCAATTAATAATTTATAATCGAAACGGTAACATAGACGCTTATTGAAGATATTTACCATCTATAATACAATAATACTTGACGAAATTCCAAAGCCTTCAAAAACTTACGTACCGTAAAACTGGGTATAAAGGAAGGTAGCTCCGACTAATACTTCGCAATTAGTGGTATTATACGCGTAATTCGATGTGTACGAAGATAAACAACAAGCCCATTCATTCACTGCGTATTATACAAGTTCGAAACTCGTTCGTCCTTCGTCCTGCGCAGGTAAAGGTCGCGAACCCACCAAGGGCCCTGCTGGCAACGGATGGGGCGGAAAGGCCCGGGCGGGGTGGGGGCAGAGCGCGGGGGGAAGGGCTGCTCCTGCTCCTTCGCTCCTCCCCAATCTTCAGATCAACAACCCCGAATCCGCATTGAGATAAGCCCCGTTCAAGAATGGGAACTTTAAGGCAACGGTTCAAATTAATTCTGTCGCTTACCCTCTATTTCCAGTAATGAATGGAATATTCATAGTCCACTTAATAGTTGTGAATGCGATATGATACAATCATGGTGATCAGTTGACATTGTGTCAGGTTTTTTAGATGTCTCGTAAAGAACTATTAAACAAAACTTATTTTTTTTTATGCAAAAAGTTGTCCAACGAGCAGACGGTTCAGCTGATGTTAAGTGAATAGCGCCGCCCATGAACATCTGCCACACCCGAGGGTTACAGATGCGTTGACAACCTTTGGAAAATTGGGCTCCGGCTACCTCACTCACCAGACGAAACGCGTAAGTATTTGTCATACTTCCACTTTACGCTGATCTTCTGTGAGGTCGTGGTATTTACCCGGACGGGCCTGCCCATTCGTGCAACAGCTGAGGCTGCTGCGTGGCCCTATCACCGTAACTTAATAACTTCAAACTCTGTTTTAATTTAGAACGTGTCGCATTTTTTTTATTCAACCTTTTATACATATTAAGTTGATTATTTATAACTATAATTATAACATTCGTAACAATCTATTAATTATAGTGTTCGTTTTGTATCGGACAAGTTAAATGTAAACAATACGTTCAATATAACTTGGTATAAATCTTTATTTACTCTGACAACGTAGTAAAAACACCTGGAACTTTTTTTTTATAAAGTATGAGGCCATGAAATATTTACCCAAAAAAAATTGGTCCGAAGTGTTCACGAAGTGGTCATAAATAGACTTTAGAAGTAATAACAGAGTTTACAATTCCAAGGTCATCAAAAAAATTTGGCGGCTCAAACAATCCCAGTGATTGGATCTAAAAAATTATTTCAATTGGTAACAAAATGGTCGTAATTTGTCAGTGTAACAGTTTTGCTAATTGGTTAATGTTTATGTTTATTTACGTTTTAATTTGAAAAATATCTAAGTTAACTTTTTGTGGTCAGAGCCTCAAAATAATAATATTGCAATATCAAGCAAAGATCCTAGAAAGTTACAATACCCACAACTGGTCAGAAGATTGGAATAATTGGTCAATAGTATAAAAACAATCACAGGAGTTTATAATTTCAAGGACGTCTATTTTGGTATATAAGAAATAATTTTGACCAATTATCAAAGTGAATTGTTCAATTGTGACCATCTCTAAGTGTACTTGAGCAGCCAACATTACTCCGATGACCTTGGAATTTTAAACTGTACTCATTCTCAAAGTATTGACCAATTGCATTCTAGACTAGAAATTTTTTCCTTCATGCATTGAGGACAACGGAGATGAAAATTCCTACCTTGTCCTTGATGAATGATTTAGTAGCATAAACGACAAACATACACACATTAATGTATATGAATAAGAGAAGAAGAATAAGTGATTTTTACATTTATGGATATAAATATGTGATATTTAAATTTTAATAATGAATTCGATACACATATATACATATACTTTTGTTACTGACCCGAGGCTTTCACTAATTATGTGTCGGATATGATACATTTTTCCCACATTTCGAATAAAGGCATTGAAATAACCGCATAATAATTAAGGTATGTATGTGAGATTACACGCGAGTCGGTAAAATAACTTTTTTAAGAATTACACAAATCGATGATAATAAGTGTCCAGTGCAGTAATAAGTTCAGTAAACTCCCTTTAGCGGCAGGAGAACACCATCGAAAATTTCCAAGAATGTTAAAACCAAGGTGGCGGCGGTCTAGACGGTCGTTTCTTGTTAATATATTCTAATGCGATTTTTTTTCACGAGCTGAGAGCGCGAAGCCCCGGCGTATTATTATTCCAGTGGCTGACTGACACGTTGGACCCGTCACGTCGACGTCAAAATCACGTGAACCGTCAGAGATGAGGACACGCGAATTGATTTGAGAAATTTCTAACCGAACGGTATCTCACTGAACAGTACAGTACCAGTGCTCTCTCTCTTAATATTGAATAGAGATAATAAGTAGACATTTCGCTTTTGTAATCTTATTCCCGCTTTCACCGTCGATCTCTAAACTTTAAGGGACATCTAATGTGCTGGTTTCGTTTTCACCACCGCTTATGTGTCACGCTTAAGACTTTAGGTGATGCTTAAGGGATGGTGAAAACGAAACTGGCATTAAAGTTTTAAGGTGTTCCTTAAAGTTAGGGATCGATGATTGAAAACGGCCATCAGATTAGCTAATTACCGGGGTGCGATGCCCTTCTTAGTAGCATTTTCACCATGGAAATTTTCGCGGAGTCAGTTGAACTTGCGTATTTTACGCAACCGGATGAACATGTACAAGAGAGACAAACAATCATTTTTATATGTAGCAACACTGTAAGAATCCACAAGACGAGGTCGCATCGTCAACGATACGGGCGCTACACGGATGTAAAACTAGGAGTATCATTCAATACCGGGGCAGGATATTTCCTTCACGGCGGTGGTCGGAGCGTGAAGGGACGGCGTATCGCCGCTAGCGGGCCAGGGACGCGGTGCAGTATTACCTGGCGCGGTTTACATCGGGTACGATGCGACATCCAGATTAAATAGCCGGGAATCCATCGCACGCAACGAAGGCGTCCACACGTAAACCGCTCGGGTTTACGTGTGAACGCATGAGGGCGAGCGTCGTCTCTTAAAGTCTATAGCGATATTCTAATGGATACATGGGGCTCAGGATCGGATTTCGAAGCAGCCTGTGGCGGAGGCCTATGGTCAGCAGTTGACAGTTCCTCACAGACAAAGAGTACTGGCACAGGGCATAAAGTTTTTAATTATTTTTCTTTTGATATTCTAAAGAAGTATAACTTCTTACGTGCATACATAAGTACACACACACACACTTTTTAATAATAGAATAATCTTTATCTATGTGTCATCGAGACTGAGCAAACTATTAAATAGATGAACCGTTTAATACATATTATGTAGTGGAAGGTGACGTCTATTTTAGCGTAATAACGGTTCAATATGACTTGCGAGCTAAGCACACATCGCATAGCGCACCTATAGCCAATATCTAGGTCTTCGTTTCACGGTTGGCTCAAAACGAGGTCGACGAAAGGTTGGCAAGCTATTTCTGTCTACCGCAAGGGTTAGAAGTGAGTACTTTATAGTCGGCCCATAAGGGAGGCATCGTCAATGCTTGAGTGCGGACAATCCAACAATTCAACAATCCAACTTCAAATGCGCCGACCCCGGGCGCGATTGCACGGACTCCTTAGTTAGTTAGCCGCGAACAAAGGTCCAGACTTAAGATATATTACCGATAAGCCTCCGATCAAGAACAAGTTCGAAAGGAGGAAGATATTGTTAGAACTCCCCAGAACGATGGCGGGGATTATTACGTATAAACCTAGACCAGAAAACGCAAGAGGATTTTTTTTTAATGTAAGGATGTGACAAGTGAGCGGGACGGTTCACCTGATGTAAATTGATAACGGCAACCCTTGGGTATCTGCAATAAACGCAAATCTTCGCTGTTGCACGAATGGGCAAGTCCGTCCGGCGCATTGCCACGACCTTAACCTTATGCGTTTCATCTGGTGAGTGAGGTACCATGGACATTTTGGTGTTGCAAATGTCCATGGGCGGCGGCTCTCTTAACATCAGGAGGACCGCCAGCTGGCTTGCAACTTCTTACATAAAAAAGATGCATTAGCTTTTAAAAAAGTGAGACCCGCTTACCTAGGCGACCAAATGAAACGCAGAGGTATGATACTTCCACTTGTGTGGTGGACGAGTCTGTCTATTCGCACAACAGTAAAGACTGCTGCGTGGAAGCTGGGATAGAGCGTTGTGGAACAAATGCTCCGATTACCTATCTGTACTTTTATCGTGACTTAGTTCTCAAAGTTGAAACTGGTCACAGTAAATGGGCAACAAGTACCTGCTTGAGCTTTCAATTCGGGAGAATTTCTAAGCAATAGCCCACCTACTACCATTGCATAAGTTATTGCGAACGAACAATTACGTGCTTCCCATTTCGCTGCGCAACGCCGGCATCGGATTTATTAGTGAGAATAGAACAGTTATTTGGACTTGCACAGTTTTGATACAAGCCCTGACTAATCGGATGAAACGGTTGCCTAACAAGATCGGATAGATGGCATCTAATCCAGTATTGCAAGAGTTCGGAGCTTGCAACCTAAGCCTAACGGTGATACACAAATGTATTACAAAAGAAAACCATAGTGGTAATGCCTAAATAAATTACAAAAATCAAACTGACATTTAATTTCAACGATAATAATGATGATGATTCATAATTTCAATGACTAATTTACTAACCAAGACTTCGGTTAAACAGGCAAGTATATGCATTCTACAGATTTTTGTTCTAAATCTGGTTGATTGTCTTCGTTTAAAGAGTTCATTAATCTCAAACAGAGGTGAAGTTTTCTTTAAAAAAAATCCATATAAATTACTACATTACATTAGAATTTTTTGATTTCTTAATCCGCCTCCACCCAACGAGAGCCGGTTTACCGTCAACTTGGAATATTCATTTCTGAATTTATCTCTAAGTGGCGATATTGTTATGATACTACGCCATCAAGTCTCGAATGCGGCGAGATATAGCGCCCCGGGTGCTTTCATCCGATACTAACCTTAATGCAACTGAATCATTAAAGGCGCGGACTAAAACAAAAAGTTACAAAAAGTGCGCCGCTAAAACGGGCTGTTTTTTTTGGCACGCGAACTACGTACCTACATTATTAAATGCAGGTTGAGTAATGAAGTCGCGTGGCGAATGGAGGGGAGGAGGGGGGGGGGGTGTAGTAATTCCTTCATTATAGTCAAGGGCGAGCTTTGCTCAAAGTGAGGACCGAGAAATTGACATCGGGCTGCGAGAAGCAATCTACTAGTGGGTCTTGCCCTACAAAGAAACTTATTAAAGAGATCCGACGCTCTTTGAAGATACGGCGACATTTAGTCTTCAGAGTTTCCCATTAAAAGCTAAGAAGAACGGCTTAAAGTACAATACTGGAAGTATTGTAGTTTGGCGTCTCGTCTGGGGAATGAGGTAGTCGGGGCCCACTTTTTTATTGCTGGCAACGCATCTGCAAACCGTCATGTATGTCCATGGATGTCGGTAATCACTTAACATCGAAGAAAATTGAGGAAAACATTTCGCAGAGGATTTGAAGATGTATCCTATGATATAGAAATAATATACATATATAGAAATAATGAACTTTTACGCTTTACATGGTGATGTAAAATATATTTAGCGCGAAATTAATGAATAGGACATTTTTAAAATAACGTCAACTCGCAACAGATTTCAGAGGCGAAATAAATTTGAAATATAAAATTCCAAGAAAAAGTCCCTTTTCCTCGGGAGAAACGTCGAGAGTAATCAAAATTCATAAGGAACATTTTCCGTATTATTCCAATTTGCTATACAATAATAAAAGCCCGAGGGCGAAAGACCGATCGTTGTCAAAAAAATTAACATTATATGAAACAGATGAGCCATAGTGAAGCGGGCAGGAAAATGTTGCCATTATCAAGGCACACGCTGTGTTACACGGAATCGCTGTGTTATGTCCAAGTAAAAAAAAACCGAGAACCCAAAGCATAAAACCTACAAAAACGTATCGTTCGTGGCGAAGGAATGCTTTAGAATTAAAGGGTCTATCGCCGACGCGCCCGATGTCCTGGAGATCGTGCATTTTGTCTATGTATAATTTTTGGCCGTTCAACTACCTGTAGGGGAACCAGTTTGCGGCCGACGCCCGTTCGTGGAAGCCGTCCTTCGCCCCGAGCCGTCCGGTGCACGAGATTAGCTTCGCGGCGGTCACAAAAAAGCGACGCACTAATAGCGGGAGCGTAGCCGTGAAGGCGTTCGCGCCTCCGCCTCGTTCGGAACATCGACGCCGATCGATCGAACATGCGTCGAAAGTCGCCAGATTCGTTACAAACACGCGAGCACGGGAAGTTTTTAGCCGTGCGCCACGCAACGGCCTCGGCTGTTGCACGAACGGGCAGGTCCGTCCGGGTAAGTACCACGAGCTCACAGAATTGCGGCGTGAAGTGGAAGTGTCGTACTTCTGCGTTCCGTCTGGTGAGTGAAGTACCCGCGACCCACTGTATTAAAAGGTGGCAACGCATCTGCCATCCTACGGATGTTGCAAATGTCCATGGGCGGCGGTTATCACTAAATACTTCTGCGTTTCGTCTGGTGAGTTAAGTAGCCGCGGCCCACTTGTATTAAAATGTGGCAACGCATCTGCAAACCTACGGGTGTTGCAAATGTCCATGAGCGGCAGTTATCCCTTAAGGGCCGTGTAACCGCCAGCTCGCTTGCCACCTTCTCACACAAAAAAAAGAAAGACGGCGTGACGGCGCTCTCAACGATGTGTCGTGGGCAGGGGTTTTTAAAGAGTAGGTCGATCCGCCCTCTGGCTGGCAGTAAGCTCGATCTCGAGCCCGGGAAGTTGCAGGCGTTGTTAGGGGTGACCCCGTGCTTATGATGATTAATGGAACGCGAGCGCGCCCCTGTAGGTGGGTGCCCTCATCGATCGCGAGCGGTCGGTGAACGCACCCCAAACTTCGGACGCCGCACCCGGGCGACGCTCCGATGTTACGCATCGCAACACCCCTCTTCTGCCGAACACACAGTAATTGTGATCTTAAAGCAGGGCTCATTCAATCGTATTTTATACTTGAGTGAAGAAAATTATGAATTAAGATCTATTAATAATAATTATCTGCGCTGCTTATTATGTTAGCAGACAGCGAGCCTCTACCATATTAACTATATAGAAGATGATACGGGCAGTGAAGGTGAAGAGTAATTTGATTGCTCCGTCTGTAACTAAGGGAAGGCAGGGTGACCAGAAGGCAGAGCGGATCGAAGCAAGTGTGCAGGTATGCGCAGGTACAACGTTAATGGTCGGGCAACGGGCAGTCCCCGTCCTCGCGACTAATGACCACTCGAAACGGGTGAAATTACGCCACGCGGCCCGCCGGCTAGATGGGCCGAGTCACGAAGCGCACAGATAAAACTAAACACGGACGGTGTCTCTAAAACGGTGGCACGACGTCGAATTGCGCGTCGGCCGTGCTTGGACTTTTACGGAAGAAATAAGGCCGCGCCGGGTCTTTTCCGGGAACGCTATCGCAGCGCGGGGATAGGTTCGTTCGACGCGGATGGCAGAACAAAAAGTAGGAGCTCGATTCGCAGCTGCGTGGGGTCGGGAGCGGTGACCTCGGCGCATCTGCCGCGCCGCCTGGCCCCGCTCGCACGCACTTAACGTTCGCGGACGCGCTTCTAGAGCGCAGAAACCCCACGTGTGATGCCGCTTAAGGCCTTTCTTCTACTCGATTAGCTTAGGAAAAGAATGCGCATTTACGCCAGAACTGAAGGAACGTATTCGCCAAAGTAAACTTGTGACACAAGAAACTACTCACGTGAAGAGAAAGAAAATCATCTAAATTTGAATACGTAAGGTGTACATTAATCAGGAGATGTCTGAAATTAGTATTTTTTCCACATCAAACGACCAAAATGGACGAAAATCTCACTTTTGTCAAAGGAAGGTAATTTATCAATTAAATCCCTTAAACAGAAATACTAGTCCAATAGTTGACTGATACACTATGGAAATTTTACTATTTAAAATCGGTGGCGTTGATAAAATGAAATCTGTCGTCGATAGGCATTCTGAACGGACATCACCATTCTCATATAGGGAATGGTGACGTCAGTGCGGACTGGTGCCTGGTGCTAGATCGATCAGTGGACAGGAATGGGCGGCGTTCCAGGGGTCGTGGGTCCATTATTATTAATGGCGGCCGGATAGGCCGCATCGCGTATTCCGAAGCGCTCTTCGAAATTATTCATTCATTTTTTTTTTATAAATGAAAAACGACACGTGAAGACGGCGAATGTTGACGTCAAATATAATCGTAGCCCAAGCTTAGGTTGTGTGCAAAATTATATCAATGTCTATTAATACATTAGTATTGTAAAATTAAATTTTATAAGAATAAAATGATATGTCAATTATAAAGTAGATTTCGTAATTCATAATTAATGAAAACTTTTTCTACAAATTAAACTGTTAAATGGCTGTTAAATGAAATTAAATAGAGCCTGTTCGAAACCTCAAGTGCATACTCAAAATCATAATAAAAGTTGACGAAATCCAGTAAAACAAGATCAAAAGCATTTATGGATATTATTTAAAATTTTAAGTTTATACATTTAATCGGAATTAAATAAAAAATAAAATGTAGTTGCAGTCACAAAACAGACATACACACACACGTACTTAGATTTTTCGTTAATGTGTTATATACATATAATGATTCGAATCTCCACAAAACCACAAAACGAGTTTGTGTGGAAAAAACCGATACTCTGCAAATTAAATAGACTTATTTATTCAACGCGACCAATAATGTCTAAACCAAACATACCGTCGCTATATTTTCATATCAATAATTGATATCAGAGGTCATAATATAATCTGGGACCTTTCAAACGTTCGATAAATCTACGATTAACTTATTTTTAACAGTAGCTAGGCAGTTTTGGTTATGGCAGCATCTTATTTCATCTTCAGCATCTATATTCATTCACATGGATAAAATAGTAAAAAAATACGGGTGATGTGTATGACTTCTTTCCTTCTATCAGTCCCGTTTTTAAAACCTAGATTTATCTTTGTTACTCACGAGGAGGCATATTACAACCAGAGTGAGACAGACATACAAATACTTGTCGTGAAAATTAAACACAGTTCGAACAAAAATGCTCTCTCCGTAATTTAAACAAAAAATCCGCTACGACGAAGCCACACAAATTCTGCGCCAAATGAGAAATCGAAAGTGCTGAAAGTTTGAAGGTTGTCGGAGAGGCGAGAAATGATTTTGGCTAGACCTACCATCTACTTCTTCAAGTGTTAACGCGTCAATGTATAGCGTAAATAAAAGTTAAACGTAAAGAAATCCACACTAATATTATAAATGCGAAAGTAACTCTGTCTGTCTCGCTTTCACGCCAAAACTACTGAATCGATTTAAATGAAAAAATTTGGTACAAAGATAGTCTAGAGCCTGAGAAAGGACATTGGCTATTTTTTTAATTAGAAAAAAGTGTTGTAAAGGGTTGAAATTATATTTCTTTAAAATGTATGTATATAATTTTTAAAGAAAGATATTTATTTAACGATTTCAACGTGAGCGAAGCCGCGGGCGAAAAGCTAGTATTAGATAAGTTGTTGCCCTTATAAATAAATTTAAATAAAGAATACAAATATCGCGAAACGTTGCTTAAAAATGTTATAAAAACAAAGTACATAAAATACGGTGAGATTTTCGCCTGTGAGAAGATATGCCGTTTGCTTCAATGACTAGAAATTCGGGCGCGTATCTCAGAGGACGCAAGTTCAAATTCTCGCAGCGGCGACAAACAATTCATTCTTAACTACAAATCTTAATCTTTATAAGTACAGAGAATAGCACTATAGAAATAAATATCCTTTAATAACAATACAAAAATGTCACTTAAACAACATTTCAAAAATTTTATACTGTGTTTGATGGCCTAATCCGTCTTGTCGCTAAGCTAACGGTAGGTCATGGGTTCGACGCTTACCCGGACACAACATGTAGATACATAATCTACAAATAATTTTGGGGATTTCGGTTGTTAGTAACAATTTTCTTTATTTGTATAAAGGGTCTCTAAACACATAATATTTTCATCTTACCGCAGGTATACTATAAAATGAAACGGAAAATAATATATGTAGTTTTACTTTTACTAATATTTTCCTTTCAGTCCGTAGACTATTCAAGCATCGCGCAGCGCTCGTGGGCTAGCCAGAGCCCAGCTTGGTATGTTTATATTTTGCATTCAACAACTATAGAGCTTAATGCAGGCTCAACACTAAATAGCGTCACTACTAACATTAGACAATTGTTATACAATGTGTCTATTATACTCCATCTTGGAAAATCGTGTCCCGGACTTGCGTCACGATAAAGTCATTAATGAGATCATAAAGGGAACCGTATTCAATCACAATATGGCGACTGGTCGTTGCGTGCGTCACGCTGTGCATGCATTATTTTGAGAATACTTAATGTGTACATAATTTCTAACTTTGTACTTATATGTTACTATTATATAAATAGTTACATACCACTGGGTAAATCCAATACAATCGAAACTTGGTACAAATTTGGCACAACTACTAATTAACCAAAGGGTAAGACGGGACCCTCTGCCTGAGACTTCGCTGTCTGTCACCAGGCTGTATCTCATGAACCGTGATAGTTAACAAGTTAAAATTTTTACAGATTACTTATATCTTTTGCCACTATTAACAACAAATACTAAAAATTATTTAAGTGGGGCTTCTATACAACAGACATCATTATTGCCGGACGGAACCCTTCGTGCGTGGGTCCAATTCGCACTTGGCCGGTTATTTAACCCAATGTTACATTAATTTTGAGAGAAAAGTGGTCAAATCGTAACCTAAATAAACGATTATCATATAGATACTCACTGACTCGGTATTATATATTCGGACCGACATAACCCTAAGATTTCGCCAGAACATTTACATGAATACTACTCTTACGTTGAAGGGGCTGCAGTAGGCTGCCAATATGATCACATTTTAGACCGCCTGCTCCATTACATTATATTCGATAATTCCAAAATTCTTCATAAAAGTACCGGTTGATCTATATACCGGTTCGCAAGGCTATTGAAATGATGAAACATAGTAATTTCAAAAAATAAAATGGTTGAGGGGCATTTGCTTGGGATACTGTAATGTATGCAATTAAATCCAAGCACACTAAACACTGCAAATCTTCAATGCAATACAGTTTCTGCGTAAGCGATACTGAAACGAACCCGAATTAACTTACATTGCATTAGGGTTTAAAACAACTCAGTACATAACGACCATGACCTTTACTTTGTAAAGCGTTCAAAACGTCGAGATTTTAAAAGATTGATCACGATGATTACATTAATTTAAACACTGTGCAAGCTTGGCCGTGTCGATGGTCACTCTTTAAACGACCACATTAAACTAAACAGTTTTATCTATTACGCGGCGAGCCTTTCCGAAGCGAGCGCTTAAAATACGGCAGCGTTATCATCAATTAGTGGTCACATTATCGGAGTTCCGCGAACCGCGGCGCCAGGATTACGCGAAACGCGCAGAATTCTGGCAACGAAATAACATTGGTAAATGATTATGCCAATTAAGCCGCGTTCTGCTGGCACCTACGTCATCTAATCGAGAAAGGGAGGCAACTGTCACCCTAGAAATCCGCCGCAGGAGACCAGGGCGCAGGAGGCTGGCCTACGCGCGCAACCTTCCCGCCCTGATAGTGAGACCCTGAGCGGCAGACATGGGGGTGTCTGTCGCTCAATATGGGGCTCGTGACGTGTGCTGCGCCAATTTTACCGGCACAGCACCAGTAGAGGAGGCCTAAAAAGGCCATAGTGGCGCCGGGGTCGCTGAAGATTGCGTCCACGTGTTCCCGTGTCCCTGGCCGATGTGACAGAGACAGGGTGCAACGTAGGTTTTTTAGTGGGTACCCGTTACTCATCGGGACTCCCCCCTGCCACTCCCCAGATCCAGTGGCAGGGGATCCATAAAGGATTTTTCCCATGAAAAAAAAGGGGAATCTCACAAATGTCAGCCTCACCGTTAAACGTAGCGACTTCTGCTGTTGTGGCTGCACGTCCGAGGAAGTACCGCGTCCTCACAGAAGACCGGCGTGAAGCAGAGATATTATAGTTTCATTCTTCATCTGACGAGTAAGATAGCCGGATCGCACTTTATAAAATTTCTTTTAATGTACGATGGTAAGCGTGCTGGAGGTTCACTTGAGTGATAACCGCCGCCCGAGGAAATGTCCTCTTTGTAAATGACAACAGCCGTAGGGTAACAAAATTGTTAACACCTTTCAATAAAGTGGGCCCCGTGATACGCCCAATAACACTTCCAATTTATGCAAATTAAAATCGTCACGTGATTAACGGTGAAGGAAAACATTGTTAGGATAATTATTATTCGTGAGGAAAATATTTATATATGAGTTCGCTAATCGCAGTGCGGTCGCGTGGTGGACTATGCTCTAATATCCTCCGTACGGATGCCTTACCAGTGGGACATATATAGCTGTACTTTACTTATCGCATGAGCCGCCAGGTAATTCCTTTTTTAAATGGTCGACGTAATTAGAGGGCCAGCGCCGACTCCCGTTGAAGGTGGAAACAGTAATTAATTAAACACCTGCTTGCTCGTTAATTTGGCGAGTTGAAGGGAACGAAAAAAAAAACTTTCCATTCATAACGAAGCCGGGCTGGCTCTGTTATTATTTTCCGTGTAATCTCGGAAGAGAAATTAAAATTATTTACCAAGAAATTGACGACCCACTTACTGGTATTACGCCCGATTACCACCTCTTTACGCGTACACTTACCTGTAACAATTATTAATTAAATTAACATTTCATTTAGCTAAAGGTATGTGATTGTAATAAATTATTTCTATATTACAAAATATTATAATATACACAGTAATTAACTTTTCAAGTTACTTCTATTCTACAGTTAAATAATTCTGTTTAACTATAGAATTTGGGCCATTGTGTAAATTTAGGAACGAAAAGTCCTTCACAAAACAGTCTCTGTTGTCGTATAATTGGGCAGGTCCACAGAAAACAGAAGAGGAAGTGTTATACTTCTGCTTTTCGTCTGGTGAGTGGAATGCCGTGGCCCACTTTGTAACAAGTTGGCAACGCATCAGCAACCCTACGGGTGTTGCCAATGGTCCATGGGCAGATATTGCTTAACATAAGGTGAACAGCCGATTTTCTTGCCACCTCACATGACAAAATGTAGGGCCGTGCGCGTACCACACAACAAATCCTACCCGCTCGTCACACAGCGGGAAAACGTTAAAGCAAACAAACAACTGCCTAATTGAAAAACGAATCACGTATATTTGAGTAACAAATCATTTTGAACGCAAATGCAGGAACGGTTTGCACGGGGAGCGGGCGGACAAATACTGCATAATTTGTGCGTTTCAATTATTCCATTTCATAAAAGGTACACAGGAAAACAAATATATGGCTATAAGCTTTTATTAACGTTAAATGCTAAAGGTCGCAAATCTTTGAATATTGTAAAACGTTCCTCATATTTAACAGTGAATAAATATGAGGAACGTTTTACAATATTCATGAACTAAAGAGAACACATTCAATAGTAACTAACTACACAGTCATATGAAATTAGTATGAAGTACAAAATTCTTTTTTGCTCTGGCCATTTTATGTATGGAATTTTAAAAACTTAAGACCAAAAAAAAAGATTAGTGGCTGATGAATAAAACTGCGATTTTTTATTGAAATCATAACAACGTTTCTCTAATTTAGAATTAAATTATTCATGATTTTTTTTAGTTCTAAACCTTTCGCAAATTATTAGAAGGAGCGTTCATGCTTGTAACATTTTTCATGTCATGTCTCAATACAGTTTTCTTATACAGTGACAAATGCATCATCCGGTCTTTCCTTTTATCAATGTAGGAAAATTGCCTCGAAAATAATGTTTCATTTTCTGTTTGAAGAATTAACGTACAATATACGATTATTTCATTAAAACAGTTTAAACAGTTGAGTTAATTTGTTACGTCCAATAACCAAGGATTAACAAACATTGTATAAATCGGCAATAAAAGGCGCCTTAGTGAAATAAAAGAAACGAAATCAATGTGATTACCGTGAGAACCGAATGTAAGCTATAACACATTCGGAGTACCTACTCTCGCATGTTATGAGTTTACGTGAGAGAGATTGTTTGATTTCTTACATGGCCACGGACTTAAGTACCTATATAGTTTTGTTGCCTTTGTCGTACACAAAATAATTACATTGAATTAATGTTGCAATTATTAACAATTAATTTCAGCACGGCAATCAATACGTAGGTTATGCAGAAAACCAGCACTACACACTACACAAGAATAAAACCTTCAATCGTCTTCAATCTTCGTATATATGACCACGTTTCGGTGTATCGTTCTCAATTACAGTGGTTACCGATTCGCCAACGACGTTCTTTAAGAGCACTAACCACTCTTTATTCTTTTTTTGATTCTCCTTCAACCCCATCTTATCTATCTCCCTACTTTCAATACCTTACTTCTAAAAGCGATAAAAAGCAACGGTCGACCCATAATCGTCTTCTACTATGTCCTCATCGTTCAAACTTTTTAAATTCTTCTTTCTTTATTCAGTCAATCCTTGTGTGGAATCCAGGAATTAGGATGGCCAAGAAACGCTATCGTTTTAGAAGCAAAGTTTGTGAGTGTATGCTTAAACAACTGTCAGCAGTTGCTTATAGTACATATAACGTTGTATATATATGTGTATATATATATATACAACATATTTATGTATGTTTATTTAGTTTATGAATACCAACCTAAGGTTGACTGGTAGAGAATGCCATTGGCATTAAGTCCGCCTTAGTACAGTGTGTGCATAAAGATTAAATAAATAAATAAATAAATAAAAACCGATATGGAGGCGACTAAGAACGAATTGATCGTTTTCGCGCCAACGCGCGTTCCAAATTCAAATAGGACGGGCCAGGCGGAAGGGCGACGTAAGACGCGGCGTTAATTCGCCGCCGGGAGAGGGGACCGGGGAGCAATCACCAACGGGAAGCTCATTCCGGCTGCATCTCCGTCGAGCGGCGCATTCGGATTAGGAATTTCGGGCCGAGCGAGGGAGCGCATTCGTTATCTGTGCAAATCGCTACACCCAACGAGGGGCGCATTAATTAGTGCGATGTCACTTCACACTACCCAAGCGTCGCCGGTACACTCTTAGCTTGCATTAACAAGCCAAAAAATACATCATGAAAAGCCGACTGTTAATGCAAAATCCAGATAACTTGTGTATATATTTAAATGTGTAGACGAGTTATATATTAAATATACTAGAATATGAATCCTAATGCTAGTTGATATAGTTAACAAATAGTGTCTAACTTAGACAAAGAGTGACGTTATTAAAATATCATATCAATTTAAATATTGAATACATAAATTAAATATTTTTGTTTTTATTTTTTTTATAATACAGCATACAAAAATACATACAACCCTATAAACCGTAACCCCTGTAACCCGTCTACGCAGACGTAGTCGCGGGCAGCAGCTAGTTTAACTATAACTTTCGATTAAGCGGGGATGGGCTCCCCGGGACGAAGTATGCCGTTATGTATTACAAACGTCGGCATTTCAAATAAAACACGTAAGAACCTTTCCTGAAGTTAAATTAAAATTTGTAATATCCGCGTAAAATTGTTATTAGGTACATAATTATGTTCGAATAAAAATAAAAATAATCAAATTTCGTAATAGACGATAAATCCATAGAATATCGAGGCCGCAATGAAAAAAGCGCGCTCGTCGCTTATCGTAGTGCGCGTATAAATAGCAAGCGACATTCCCACATGATTTATGCAAGTCCACTTCACTATTCTGCATTACTCGAAACGATGCGTTTAAAATTCACTCTACTTTACAAAGGCTCGTTCAAAATTAAAACGACTCACTCGTATTCGTCTTTGGTAAGTAAGTTCTTGCAGTTTCTTTTTTTTTTTAAACTGACAACATCAGCGATCTAAAAAACGCCAAAGTAATAAAAGAAAAATCAAATTTCGAATGCCACATCAGCAGATGTCACGGCTAATGTACGTGTAATGCATGGCCTGGGGCTTTGCACGGAATTTACAATTTCGTAAAATATATATCTAAGCTGAAAAAATAAATAATAATAAATAATATATATTTTAGGACACATTTTTACACAACATTTTCTGACCCCAAACTAAGCAACGCTTGTACTATGGGTACTAGAAAACTGATAAACATACCTAAACATACTTTTCTTTTGTAAATTAATACTTATTATACATATTTAAACACCCAAACACTAGATAAACACTATGTTCATCACACAATATTTTTCCCGTAGTGGGGATCGAACCCAAACCCTCTGGCGCAGGAAGCAAGTACATTACCCTCTACGCCATTCGGGACGGCAAAATCAAACATAATAATGGCAAATTAAAAAAAGAAAACAACAAAAAAAAAACTACAAATAATTCAAATTTCGAACATCGCGTCAACAGAAACGGCGTGGTCTGCGGAAAGGGAGCGCCGCGCCGCTGCACGGAATATTCAACGGCCGCCCGACCCGCCCGCGCGTATTACGATTCAACGGGCCGTCCGCCCGATACGGCACCCGCTCTGCCGGCCGAGCGGAGACGTGTTCCGCAACGCAGATGGCCACGCGAAGTTTTTTCGTGCAGCTAACCAACCGTTCCGTATACATGAGGCTGTTCCGAACTTCAAGGCGGGCAGTGCTTTTGTAGCTGCTCTGGCGGCGGTCATTTAAAGTGCGGAGGTGTGTCCACAGAGTCCCTTAGTGAATTCTCGAACATCAGGTAGAACACGCGGCGAATCGGCGAGTTCTTTATTAAATGGTGTTTTATAGTCAAGACATGTCAGCTATTTTTATTATTCAAAGTCAACATTTCATTGTGTACATATACACTGCTGTACAATTCACAAGCTAATCGCGAATTAGTAGACGCTGCCAAGATCACTCCAGTAATCTTAAGCGATCGATACAACTAAATTCTTTGATACAACTAACTTCGAAAGAGCATATAAAGACAATTAAAAATGTTATGAATAATAAAGAATAATGTTACTGTTAAATTAATATTTACTGTTCTAAATACGAAGATAATTTTAGCTGTGGTGGGGCCGCGCACTAGTCTTTGTTGTTGCACGAATGGGCAGGTCCGTACGGGGAAGTACCACGACCTTTCGGAACACCGCCATGAAGTGGAAATATTATACTTTTGAGATATCCGGGGCACGCTTTAATATTAGGTGGCAATGCATCTGCAACCTAACGGGTGTTGCAAATGTCCGGGCGGCGATTATCACTCAAAATCAGGTGAACCGGCAGCTCACTTGACTTGCTCACTTCACATAAAAAATAACTACGCATATCCCATATTACGCTGGCGAAAAATGAGGTGATAAAAGGCAGACAAACATTATCGCAAGTACGAACACCCAACCAAGTTAACGCCTCTTCGGGAACGATAGCGTTAGCGAAACGCCGAGTAATATGTAAAATACGTATTTACGTACAGTCGCGGACGAAGTTCCGCAAAGCAGCGTTCCATATTAAAGTTGATAAGCTGAAGGCGGTTATTTAAGTCAACAGCCTGAATGTTGAACGTACCTATTACGTCACGGCTAAACACGTCGTATTCGGCCGTATATCGCTTTTGTCATAATGTATCATATTTGCGCACCGTCGAATTTTCTGATACTTGTGTCTCGTATATTGATCTTTTACTGTATAGAAGCTTACTTCGAAACCAAAAATAGGCAGGTAAAGCCAATTGTATTTTTTTTGTACACATTTTGTTAACCGGGGGCGTTACTCGAAAAATCCATTTATCGACAAGTATCACATTTTAAACGTACACTTTTTTATAAACCTTCAAACAGGCGTTAAGTTTCCTGTCGGAGCACAGCGTTCCGATTAACAATGGCGCCCTTTTAATAGGGCGTTTAGCATCACGGCGATTTGCATGTGCGCCAACCTGGTTTTGCAACGTTCCGCACAGTGGCCGTACATTGTGCAAGCCGTTTTCGCACGGAGCCGGCGCCGGGAAGCAGGGTCACGCTCTCTGCATGCCGAACGGATCCGAGAGCCGTAGAGCTGCTCGGTGTCATTAAAATGTAAACTCAGAGCTTTTCATCGTCAAACAAATGTGTGCTAACTCAATAAGGAAATGGGATAAAGCGGTTATTGTTTGTATCGACGTTGGCTAGTTCAGAGTAAACACGTCCAGCATCCGCGACTCATCTGAAAGTCGACGTCAGCTTCTGCGTCCGGTGATGTACGAATGCAGAAGATTAGCTGCAGTAAAACCACATAGTTAAACCACTTTTTCCGTTTTTAAAGATGTTGAGATTGAGACGTCAAATTTGATAACAGGTAATGAAACAATGGAAATCTTGGAATCGTACAAGAATTTGGCTTGGCTCGCGTATTATTTATATAGATTACTATTAGGGGAAAAGTTAAAACGTAAAATTACTTGTCTCTTTTCTAAATTTCCTTGAAATAACGCAATAGACGGCATTAAGGATCGTCCTTGATGCCGTCAAGGTGGGCTTCAGTCATGATTCCAAATGAAAGTAATCAATTATTACATATTTTTGAGATAAAAATTTCTTTTTTGTAATGAATAGCCCTATAAATTAATTAAAATTATTCCAGTATCGAGGGGTTCCGCTTAGATGAAAATCACGTAAACGAAGAACAACTACATTTTAGAACAATAAATTTTTTTGATCACACAAATTCTTCCCGCGAGGTCTTCGTAACCATAACACGACGTGCAATAGCAGGCAAGGTGACTCGTAACTATTATGCTAACTGTATTATCAAATAATTATTTATTTTCCTTTTATAGGAGCGAGTTTCTTTATATAAATAATAAAAAGTACATAGATCGTCGGAAAATAAGAGACACTTAAAATAAATTCCGACCCAAATTCCGAACTGTCAACAAAAACACAACATTTAATAAAAAAATAAACATTATACGGACGGACTCTGAACAAAAGATTACTTTATATTTCCTTGTGTGCAATAAAGTATAAAAACAAACAAACAAACAAAAGATCGAATAAGGACACGAGCGCAAATCGTAGTCCGTAGGTACTCGTGTGGATGGGAAATATTACCGCTGCCCATAAGGGGGGCCCTGAGTTTGCACAGAACGTCCGTCTGCCGCTTTTATTAGCGCCGGAGTCACGTCCCGCTTGCTTTATCGCCACTAGCGTTAAATCATTGCCGGCATACGAATATTGCTTTGGGAGCATTGTGAAAAATATAGTGACCTAAAGTATCACGGTCGGTTCCTTGAAGACGATTGCGGTAAGGTAACTGGTTGGCGTTTTAAACAATTTACGGCAAAACCATCTATTTAACGATTTAGTCGTTGTTTAACTATGTGAAATATATTAAATCTGTATTAATATTGTCTCGTTTATATCGTTCTAACGCCGTGCAAACCCTGAAAAGTTGTATCATTGCAGGTCAAAAATGAATGACATTAGATTTAGGTTCGGTTTTATCCAATCGCTAAATAGGGGAAAAAATAATATTTAATAAGAGTGCCGGGGCTCGAGCCATATTTTGAGTCTATGTGTAATAAAATGAGCAGTTTTTTTTAATTACTGCACTATTACAACATAATATTATTATGTTTTAATATAGTATACTGCTCATTAAATGGACGAAAACCATCGAATAAAACATTTAGCATTTCACCGGCTTTGTTCGGGGATTAAAGTTTTTTTTTCGGCTCACAATAATCAAGTCTGCATGTGGTCTATAAACTAATCAAAACTAAAGAGAAAATCAACTTTAATATCTGGGCATTAAGCGAGTTTCTTACTCGAGTGTGTAATTCAGAAACTTCTGCGAAAACTCGGCGCTTTCGACTCGCAAAATGCAAACTTATCTAAAACTCAGCACTCGGGGAAAACATTATGAGGAAATGAGTACGCCTGAGAATAATTCTCAAGACGTATAGCCCGCTTATGCGAGATTAAGTGACACCTAGTGTAATTTATATAGATAGGTATAAATTTACATTTTATTAACATATCATTTTATAACTGCTAACGTTTTATAAATGTTTTAAATATGCTTCAATAAACACGATCTTGCTTGAATTTTATAGATTTACTGTAAATTTTACTTTTGATATTATACTAAGAGAAATAGAGGGCTATAAATCTAGTTATAGGTAACAAGTAGTAAAAAGCCACGTTGAACAAGGGTTAACGCAACATGTGTTTCATATTGTTAGTGAAAGAGTTTTTACGACCGGCCGCCTACCAATCATCGCCCTCCTTAAGAACCAACACAGATCCGGAATTATTATCTGTGAGTCACACAATCCCCGTGTGGGAATCGAACCCATGGTACCCCAATAACTCGGCAACAACGGCAATGAGCCATCTTCGTTGTTATTTATATTTAACGTATTTAAGATTTAGATCACCTACATCCACAAAATCTAAAACACGCAAATAACAACCATATTGCTATCTCCGAGATCGTAAGAATGAATCCTTTAAAACAATTCGCACCAGGGTTACAGTCAAAGAGCATGCCTCAATTAATAAGTACTTCTTGATAAAACTTAGAAGCTTTTAGCGTTAACTAAAACAAAAACTTTCTGTGCCATTCGCGAACGGCATTAATATTTGTTTTTTTTTTTCGAAATTCGAAATTGAACACATAGGTAGCAACAGATACGGGTTTTGATTACGTACGAGCAAGGCGTAAGCAGACAGGAAAGGCACGAGTGGCGTTCAAACGTTCATAAACTCGATTAGGATATGATTGATGGACGCTATCGGGATGGCAGGACGCTGGGGACGTCGTGTGTGGCCTCGACTCCGTCACAGGGCGAATAAGGGGACCAAGTTGGCATATTACAAGTTGTGGGAGAAGATAATAAATATAATCAATGCGGTAGAGCCGGGTCGGCTACTGCTGTTGATTCGTTGGGATAACTTGTTAAAGTAAGTAATTGTGACATTGCTTTCAGTAAGATTAACCAAGTAACAAAAGATGGTCAAACACCGCAGTCGCGGGATAACATTATCTTGTGTTGTAAGGACATTTTACACACGTGAGCTTCAAGTGGACGAACACCAAGATCCGAAATAATTAACTTTGTGTCACTCAAACAGTTTTCTCGTGTAGGAATCGAACCCAACGACCCCCGGCGCCGAAGCTATGTCTAGGCTACTGCGCTTTGGAGTCAAGGTACCTACACCTTAATGCCCACCATACGCCCCAACAGTATACCGTGGTTAAGCTGCTTTTGCAGAGTGACTTTTTAAAGTACATATTAAATGTTTCAGGAGAGGCCTACGGACAACTTTTGGCTGCCCACGCATTTGATGATTCATATGAGTAAAAAAAAATATGTTACATAATACCGAATATTGTTATTAATAAAAAATTATAATAACAATATACGGTCTGCATATTATTGTCAAATATACTAACAACTCGTAGAGATATAACATCATATAGCTATAGCTCATACTCTTTTAAATGAAAAATTTATCTATATATAAATAAAATTATAGAGGACTGCCGTATTGCGCGAATCACGGCAAAACCACTTACTGGATGATTTCTATTAATTCTTCTAAATTTTATTACTTAAGACACTTGGACCTTATCTAAAAATATTGCGATATATTCATTTAATGTAAAGTTATTAAAGTAAACAACTATTTTTATAAACCCCAAGTGTTCAGCAGTTCAAG